CAAAGGGAATGAAAACATGTGTATAGCAAAACATGTGTTAATGCAAAAATTATACAATACGTTTCGTGAGAAATACATGATTTCCTGGAGAAATATCAAGGGTGCCAACAATTTCGGCCATGACTGTATATAACATTTGTACTCCCGAGTTGCATGATTCTGCACAGATCTGAAAGTAAATAGTCAACCAAATACAAAATGAGGGGATAGGTGACTTTTTCTGAATTAATCATCACTTTCTGTGACAATGACTGTTAACTGCTTGACATGGTAAGTATTGATATGGTAAGTATATAGTGGCATTAAGAGTGCATCTACACTTGCGAATGTGAGGAGAGAGGAGCGCCAAACTAAGTGCAGCATTAAAAGTTCTTTTATTAGGCAAGATAAATAGAGACAATTCTCTAGATGTAGCGTGATGCAGCAAAGGGGGCGGTAAGGGGGCGTTTCGAAGCGTAAGCTTCTTCATCAGACCTCTGACGAAGAAGCTTACGCTTCGAAACGTGTTGCGGCATCACGCTCACGTGTGACGTCACGTCTGCCCAGCCACCATCTGTGCTCCAGCCTAGTTCCTACCATAGCAGCTGGACGCAGCAAGCGTGGATCACTGACAAGAGCAGGTTCATGTAGCAGCCTCAGCTCCACGGTGTCTCTGCCTTCTCCATCGGCCTCTGGGATCCCTGTAGGACGATGTCTCTCTCTGAGCTACATGCCCGTTTTTTATCTACATCTAGTAAGTTACCGCTGTTTATCTTGCCTAATAAAAGAACGTTTAATGCTGCACTTAGTTTGGCGCCCCTCTCTCCTCTTTTTCTCTATGCACACAGTCCAGCTTTACTCTAAGGGTGCTGCCTCCTGATGCCGCTGATTATATAATACTCCCCATTGGAACTCGGCACAGGCTGCTTGCTTTCCCCCATCTTACATGCATTCATGGACTGCTCCCCTACAGTTTGGACTTTTCATTTATCCCTCTCCATCGCCAATTTTCCCATTTATTCTTACACTTGCAAATATACCTGCATTGCTATCACATGTGAAAACCCCGGTGGGGTTCCTACAATTAGCTGAAAAAGGCAGCCGCATTGAAAGCAATGGTAGGCTGCTGGCTCCTTCAGCTAACCGCATCCACTCGCATGTAATCTCTCATGCAGCAATCCTGAGCGAGTGATCGGCTTGGGACGAGGGCAGTCTACAGTACATCCAGGGCTGGTCACTCGCATGCGATTGTTGAATGAGTGATTACATGTGAGTGGGTGCAGTTAGCTGCGGGACCAGGCAGCCTCCCATGGCTTTCAATGGAGCTACCTCTCATAGCTTTTTGCAGGTACCCCCTGCTGGGGTTCTCAAATGTAACATCTCCAAAATACGTCTGTTCCTAACCCCGAAAACCACTAAGCAACTCATTCACTCCCTTATCATATCACGACTTGACTACTGTAACTCCCTCCTCGCCGGCCTACCTCACCACAGGCTATCCCCGCTTGAGTCGATCCTGAATACTGCGGCCAGACTCATCCACCTTACCAATCGCTCCGTATCCGCCACCCCCGTATGCCAATCCCTCCACTAGCTTCCGATTGCCCAACGGATCAAATTCAAAATGCTAACACTGACATACAAAGCTGTCCATAACACTGCTCCAAACTACATCACTGACCTGATATCCAAATACCACCCAAAACGTACTCTCCGCTCCTCGCAAGACCTTCTCTCTAGTTCCCTGGTCTCCTCCTTCCATGCCCACCTCCATGACTTCTCCAGGGCTTCCCCCATCCTCTGGAACTCCCTACCCCAATCCATAAGACTTTCACCTACTCTCCTCTCCTTTAGGCGCACCCTGAAAACCCACCTCTTCAGGGAAGTCTACCCCGCCCTCAGCTAATTGCTGATCTCCTCCACTCTTTCTACCACTCCATCCCCCACAGCTATCCCTCCCGTACCACTAACCCCTCCCTCCTAGATTGTAAGCTCCAAGGAGCAGGGCCCTCGAACCCCTCGTTTATCGCATTACATTGTTATTGTACTGTCTCGTGTATTGTATCCCATTGTAATGTACAGCGCTGAGCGAACTGTTGGCGCTATATATAAATATATAAAAAATATTGTTAACCCTGATGAAGTCACGACGCACGTGACGCAACGCGTCAGTACGCATATCCGGTTTCAGGCTACGTCATTTCCGTTCACGTGGGGACGCACGTCTGGACGCAGCGGCCATATTGGTTCCCCTTGTTTCATGCTATACACCTATGGGATGAGGTGAAATGCTGTTTTGACAAGGAGAAAATGTGAGTGTAACTATTGTGTTTTAAAACTTTTTTTCATTAAACAATATTGCACTATGGAAGGTTTTCTTTTGTGTCTTGTATAACTATTGAGTGGAGGTGGAGTGGAAATCCTGTGATCCCTGGATGATCAATCTGCAATAAGGATCGGTTATAGAGGAGAGTAATAGCCTTTTGGCCCTGTGTGGGTCAGTGTGGGGAGGTGAGCAGGCACTGCTGCCATTTGAGGATTTTTGTGCACTAGAAGTGAAGTTCACCCCCTTTTTTTCACAAGTTACACCTGCATGGACTTGTTTTTTATATATACACGGATGATTTTTGCATTTGTGTGATTCACAGCTATATGCTTAATAATTGTATAATAAAGGTTATTGATTATTATGGATACACAAGATATATTTGTTATCACTTATTTACTTGTTTATCACTAAATATATTTTTGGTATGTATTAGTTTGTCATCACAGAGCACTATGAGTTATTAATGGCACTATAGTATATATATATATTTTACAGCGCTTCACTAATTTATAGCTATATAAATACTGTGTAATAATAATAATAATAATTGCTGTGCGGGTGCATTTGCAAGTGTGAATGCACCCTAAAGCAGAACTGCACTACGTTCTGCAGGGGCGGTTCTTGTCATAGTGTGCAAGTATGAACAGCAATATGGCAAACTTACTCCTGTGTGTGTCCAATTCAATGTTATACCTTACTGCTCCATTTGCCGCATACGTGCTGGAGATACATCATCCCTGTTTTATCTTCGGCATCTTACAAATGATGTACACAGACCAGCAGTGTACACTGCACTGCACAGGCATGTAGGCAATATACACAAATTCGTCTTTTTAAAGACTTTGTAAGTCTCCTCCACAGTCTCAAAAGTTTGACTCAGCAATTCTGACTGCAGCTTAGTTGCCCGACTCAAAGAGCGACTCCCCTCCCTGTATTGGTTCTGCTCTTAGGGCTAAATCACATGTGCAGCTAAGGGGTGGTAAAATCAGATAGTTGAGCCGTGGTATTACTGACCCTGGCCACCCATCTGTACACAGACATGAAATGGGCCAAAGAGTCTACAGGAGCCTTTGTATTGTACCTGTTATCCACTAATCACAGGTGCAATGCTTTGCAGGTTCTTATGGTATAAAAAAATACAATTTTGTTTACAATAAATATTGGTTAATTTATTATTTTTTCAATAGATGGACTTCACTTTTAAAATGGTATTAAAGGTTCGACTTAAAAAAAGAAATCAAACATGTCATACTTACCTGCTCTGTGCAATGGTTTTGGACAGAGCAGCCCCGATCCTCTTCTTCTCAGGTCCTCTGCTGGCTTTCCTGGTGCCTCTCCAGCTCTCCTGGCGCCTTGACCAGTGCCCCCAATAGCAAGCCACTTGCTATGGAGGCACTGTTGCGTGCTCGCTCCCGAGCCCTGCATGTGTCCATAAGACACATAGAGCCGTGGCTCAGCCCCGTCCCATACTTTCTCCTCATTGGCTCACTGAAGAGGCAGTCCCGGGCAGCCAAGGCTCTCATGCACATCTCTGGATTGAGAGGGGACTCATGTGAAAATTACAGGGACCTGAGGGGTGTGCATCATACATAAGGTTGTTTACCTTCATGGATAGAATGCATGAAGGTAAAAAATACCTTCAGCCTTTACAACCACTTTAACCACTTCCCGTCCGGCCCATGTATATAAATGGCTGGACGGGAGCAGTGCAGGGGCGGGTGGCCAATTTATAAACGTTTCTCCCGCCTCCCTGCCTGTGCACGCCTCCTATGAGCGCGCGGCACCGGCAATCTAGTGCCCATTGTGTCCTCCGGACACAGCAGAACACTGTTTGCTGTACGGGACCTCTGTGTGAGGTCCCAGTCATGTGATCACTGACTGGCCAATCAGTGATCACATGAATAGTAGTAAGCAAGATGTCACTTCTGACATCATTGCTCACTACTAGTGAAATCTGTGAATGATCACAGAGATCACATTATACGAGGCTATTCACAACAGCCTTGTTCCATGTGACAGGCTGTGACCAATCACAGCTTGCACAGTATTTCTCAATGGCTGCAAGAATGCTGCCAGAGGAGAAATTATTGCTTTTACAGCCTTTATGGGTGTAAAAGCAATCAGTGTAAGAAAAAAAATCTATGGTGACACTGTACAGCTAGGGTGACGGTATGTAAAAAAAATAAAAAATAATATTAAAAAAAAATACAAATGCAAAAAATTTTTTTGAAAATTATAATTTTTGGTTATAAACTAATTTGGGTTATATTTTTTTTTTTTACTAAAAAGATAGCTGAATACATTTTGGCCAAGATTTATGAAGAAAGATTATTTGTTTGCAAAGTTTTATAAGAAAAACACTTTTTTTTTCAAAATGTTTGGACTTTTTCATTTATATAGCAAAAAAATAAAAATCCCAATGGTAAATAAATACCACCAAAATAAAGTTTTATCTGTCTCAAAAAAATGCTAAAAAATTCATATGGGTACAGTGTTGCATGGCCGCGCAATTGTCATTCAAAGTGTGATAGCACTGAAAGCTGAAAATTGGCCTGGACAGGAAGGGGGTGAAAGTGTCCGGACTTGAAGTGGTTAATGACTACAGAGCTGCATAATTTGCATCTATTACCGTATTTTTCGCTCCATAAGACGCACCTGACCATAAGACGCACCTAGGTTTTAGAGGCGAAAAACAGAAAAAAAAATTCTGAACCAATGGACTGCAGACATAGTACAGGAGATGACCAGAGACTGAGGACACAGTACAGGGGATGACCAGAGACTAAGGACACAGTACAGGGGATGACCAGAGACTGCGGATATAGTACAGGAGATGGCCAGAGACTGCGGACATAGTACAGGAGATGGCCAGAGACTGCGGACACAGTACAGGAGACGGTCAGAGACTGCGGACATAGTACAGGAGATGGCCAGAGACTGCGGACAGTAGTAAGGAGATGACCAGAGACTGCGGACACAGTACAGGAGATGACCAGAGACTGCGGACACAGTACAGGAGATGACCAGAGACTGCGGACACAGTACAGGAGATGACCAGAGACTGCGGACACAGTACAGGAGATGACCAGAGACTGCGGACACAGTACAGGAGATGACCAGAGACTGCGGACACAGTGCAGGAGATGACCAGAGACTGCGGACACAGTGCAGGAGATGACCAGAGACTGCGGACACAGTGCAGGAGATGACCAGAGACTGCGGACACAGTACAGGGGATGACCAGAGACTGCGGACACAGTACAGGAGATGACCAGAGACTGCGGACACAGTGCAGGAGATGACCAGAGACTGCGGACACAGTGCAGGAGATGACCAGAGACTGCGGACATAGTACAGGAGATGACCAGAGACTGCGGACACAGTACAGGAGATGATCAGAGACTGCAGACATAGTACAGGAGATGACAGAGACTGCAGACACAGTACAGGAGAGATGACCAGAGACTACAGACATAGTACAGGAGATGACCAGAGACTGCGGACACAGTACAGGAGATGACCAGAGACTGCGGACACAGTACAGGAGATGACCAGAGACTGTGGACATAGTACAGGAGATGACCAGAGACTGCGGACACAGTACAGGAGATGACCAGAGACTGTGGACATAGTACAGGAGATGACCAGACACTGCGGACACAGTACAGATGACCAGAGACTGCGATGACCATTCACAAAGCGAAGCGCATGCGCAGTGGGCACCCGGCTGTCACAGAAGCCAGCGCGGGAAGACTGTGCAGCGCTGGAGCGTGGAACAGGTAAGGCCCTGCAGGAGACAACAGCTGAGCGGCCGGCCCGGTATTCTGACATGGTGGCGGCAGAAATACTGGACCGGCCGCTTTATATTCGCTCCATAAGACGCACTGACATTTTCCCCCCTTTTTTGGGGGGAAAAAAGTGCGTCTTATGGAGCGAAAAATACGGTATACCTTGTGGTTCATTGTTTACTCCCTCAAAACCTATAACAGAAGGCCCTACCTCCATATGGACCATATAGGGGAAGAGTTTGCAGGAGCCCGTTCAATGCACCCTGGATTTGTGGTTGCAATGTTCTGCAGGCTTGAAAGCAAACATTTCATGAAAGTACATTTTTTCAGTTTATTCATGTGGCAGAATGTATTCAGTTTTTGCAAATGGTGGACTATGCCTTTAAAAGCGCGTGAATTTCTTGCAGATCAACAGGTAGGTTTTCTGCGTTTGTACAGTCTTTATGGAGGTAAAAATGGGAAATGCAGAGATGTACTCTTTTTGCCTTGACCTACACCTTAAGCAGTTATACTGATGGTACAGCTAAAATATTTGTATTTTAAAGTGATTGTAAGGTTTTTTTTTTTTATTTATTAAAATGATAAACGCTCTATACTTAATTTCTGTGGTATTACACAGAGCGGCCCTGACCTCCTCCTCCTCTCAGGGCCACCCTGGTGTTCCTGGCTCCTCTTCTTTTCAGTGGGCCTCCATAGGAAGCCGGTTCCTATAGGGACCCACCTGCAAGCTTACTCACAAGCCAGGCTGTGTGCATCTATTGACACACAAAGGGTGGCTCGACCCCTCCCTCCACTTCCTCGTCACAAGATTTCCCACTGCTGCCTGTGTCATCTGTGAAAAAAGGAAGAGAGGAGAGCAGGGTTGCTGGTGGGGACAGTGCTGGATTGAGTGGTATCAAGGTAAGTGTTTGGAGTGGGGGATGGGGGGGATTCACAGATAGAAAAAGTATTTTTCTTTATTGCAAAGAATGCATTAAAGTGGTTGTAAACCCTTACATATACCCAGCGAAGTGACTGACCTCAGGTGATACACAGAGGTGAAACAAATCATCCTACATAAATTGTGTGTGTATTTCTGCAGTCTTCTCTTCTCTACATCCATTCAAAGTGCTGAATTCATACAGTTTGTCTGAGAGTTCAGAAAAAAGGGGGCAGAGAGCTAAAATTACACACTGCAGTGCTCAGTGAGGAGAGCTCTGAGAGCTTATTGGAGGGAAGACAACCCTCCTCCACACAGCTCACAAGAACAGAGGTTGTCAGTCTGCTGGAGGTCCCTCCCGTCACCATTTTTCTCTTGGTGTCAGGAAAACATGCAGAGGTGACTCATGCTGATAGCGGAGGAACAAGGCTGCAGTCAGAAATGACACTTAGTGCTCTGGATTGAGACAAGTACACACTATAGAGGGATATGCTTTGTTCATATTTCATTTCTGAGGTTTGCAACTACTTTAAATCTTTAAAAAATGTGAACAGTGTTGCCTCAGTAATGATCACAGCAGTCACTACTTTGTTTCAGAGAACAATAAATCCAACACTTTACAGCCCTTTCTGTTTCAAGCCAAACAAATTCTCTCAGGTCATTTCTAAACAGTGCAGTAAATACATATGTTACAGCTAACACATATGTGCGGATATCAGACGCACCAAGAGCAGATGGAGTCCTCCAGAGACGTATTCCCACTTTAATTTCTATAAAGAACAGAATACAAATATTTACTCAGCTTAACCTCTCTGCACGCTGAATACTGGCCCCAGTATATTCTCAGGCTTCAGGGGCCAAAAGAATCTGAACTTCGCTCCACTATAAATCAAGTTTTGGGCACCTACGTTATCTGAAATACTTTAATTTGTTCCAACAAATAGACAGCCTAGCTAACAAAACATTTACAATTCTGCTCAGATTTTTAAAGGGGATCCTGTAGATAAAAACAGTAAGGCAGGATGGGAGATGCAATCTCGGGGAGTTTTTCAGCCAGGTTTTGGAAGGTACGTAAATGGCGAACATCTATAGCAAAGGCATTATCCAACTTTAGTTAAAGCTGCAGGGTTTGTTTTTACCTACAGGGGCCCCTTATCTGCATAGGCAGTTTTCTGGTAAAAGTGAAAAAAAAAACACTGTAAAGCTCCTATTTACATTTAGTGCTTGTGCCTATCATATTATGCCAAATCTGCTTCTGCCTCCATTTTAGGAGCTTTGTGACTCACGCATGAAGCATGGCTAGAAACACCCCTATTGGTTTACAGAAGTGGTCTCCAAACTGTGGCTCGGGGGCCAGTTGCAGCCCTTTGCTAGCTTTTTTTCTAGCTTTTTTCTGGACCTTGCGGCACTATTTCATCCAACTGTTACCAACAATGGTACATAATCCCTCCCCACTGACACCATGGAAGAGGCACAATTCTTCCCAATGATACCAGTGTTGGGGTACAATTCCTCCAAATGATACCAACAATTGGGCCCATTGACATCAATGATGGGGAACAATTCCTTCCACTGACACCAAATATGGGGCATTTTTTTCCCACTGATGTCGGGACCTTTTCTACTCCCAACTGCCACAGTCCGGCCCCTCTAAGGTCTGCTTCTGCCTTCATTTTAGGAGCTTTGTGACTCACGCATGAAGCATGGATAGAAACACCCCTATTGGTTTACAGACGTACTAATTTAATGTGTACCCTCCTTTTTATACCCTCAAAAAGCTAATACCTTCCACCCTAGAAAGTGTAGTAAAATATATATAAAACCTTTTTGTGATATGATAAATTCCCAAATAAATTAAAAATCATAAATATATACCAAGAAATATAAAATATAAATAAAATAACAATACAAAAATTCCCCAAATCCAAAATGTCCAATAAGTACAAAGATAAATCCAAAAATAAGTCCAAAAACAGTGTCCAAAATTCCAATCTTTTTCCTCCAAATACGAAAGTTGACCTCTAATTCATCCAAAAACATACCTCAAAAAATATAAATATAAATAATCTAGTGCAATTCAAATAATTGAAAGAAATCACCCCGTGCAACTTCACACTTCACTTCAAAATTTTTGTGAAAGAGAGAGAGAAAAAAAAAAAAAATATATATATATATATATATATATATATATATATATATAATTAAATTATTCCAATCTTAATTAATTTTTTTATATAGTGCATTTAAACACATCAATCCAAAGTGTACACACTCTGTGATCACTGCAACTCAGTGAATACCATCAACCACCAGACAATAGTACTAAATACTATTACCCTCTGTGAGTATTATGAGAGCTCTACAAACATTATGGATCAGTAATCCTCCAAATTCTTCTTTAAGAATATTTTTTTCCAAGGTCCTCAGAAAGATAAAATGGTCTTAGGAGCAATATTCAAAGCATAGGGATAACATTTATTAGTAACTCACATATTAAAACCAGATTATCAACTCCAAACATGGTTTCTATGTGTTTCCACCAAACATTTCCTCCACCATGTGTTAACCTTAAAAATGGCCACGGTGACACTTCCGGTCTGCGTACGTGCGTCTTGACGTCACTCCTTTAACACGTTTCATCACTTCCGGACTTCATCTGATTCATTATATTTATATTTTTTGAGGTACGTTTTTGGATGAATTAGAGGTCAACTTTCGTATTTGGAGGAAAAAGATTGGAATTTTGGACTTATTTTTGGATTTATCTTTGGACTTATTATTGGACATTTTGGATTTGGGGAATTTTTGTATTTTTATTTTATTTATATTTTATATTTCTTGGTATATATTTATGATTTTTAATTTATTTGGGAATTTATCATATCACAAAAAGGTTTTATATATATGGTTTACAGAAGTAGTCTCCAAACTGTGGCCTGGGGGCCAGTTGCAGCCCTTTGCTAGCTTTTTTCTGGACCTTGGGGCACTATTTCATCCACTGTTACCAACAATGGTACATAATTCCTTCCCACTGACACCATGGAAGAGGCACAATTCCTCCCAATGACACCAGTGTTGGGGTACAATTCCTCCAAATGATACCAACAATTGGGCCCATTGACATCAATGATGGGGAAAATTCCTTCCACTGACACCAAATATGGGGCATTTTTTTCCCACTGATGTCGGGACCTTTTCTACTACCAACTGCCACACTCCGGCCCCTCTAAGGTCTGCATCTGCCTCCATTGTAGGAGCTTTGTGACTCACGCATGAAGCATAGATAGAAACACCCCTATTGGTTTACAGAACTGATCTCCAAACTGTGGCCCAGGGGCCAGTTGCAGCCCTTTGCTAGCT